TGGAATAGCCCTTTGGCCACTCTGGGTCAGCTGTCCTGGCTGTGCCCCCTCCCAGCTTCTTGTGCACCTGGCAGAGCATGGGAAGCTGAAAAGTCCTTGACTAGTGTAAGCCCTACTTAGCAACAACTAAAACATCAGTGTGTTATCAACATTATTCTCAACCTAAATCCAAAACACAGCACTATACCAGCTACTAGGAAGAAAATTAACTCTATCTAAGCCAAAACCAGGACAAGACTCTAATATACAGTAAGGCAAGCAAGCTCCATGGCAAGCACAGAAGCCTGTCAATTAATAGCTAAACAGCAATAACAGCTATAAATTCAATATCTAGCACATTCCAATCAAATCTGTTGTTATCTTGAACCCTTCGAGCCCCATGTTGGGTGCCAAAAAGGACTGTCGTGGTTTAACCCCAGCCAGCAACTAAGCACCACACAGCTGCTCACTCACTCCCCTCACAGCGGGATGGGGGAGAGAATCAGAAGACTAAAAGGGAGAAAACTCATGGGTTGAGATAAAGACAGTTTAATAGGTAAAGCAAAAGTTGTGCACGCAAGCAAAGCAAAACAAGGAATTCATTCACTACTTCCCATCGGCAGGGAGGTGTTCAGCCATCTCCAGGAAAGCAGGGCTTCATCATGTATAACGGTTACTCGGGAAGACAAACGCCATCGCTCTGAACGTCCCCCCCTTCCTTCTTCTTCCCTCAGTTTTTATTGCTGAGCATGACATATGGTATGGAATATCCCTTTGGTCAGTTGGGGTCAGCTGTCCCAGCTGTGTCCCCTCCCAACTTCTTGTGCACCCCCAGCCTACTTGCTGGTGGGATGGTGTGAGAAGCAGAAAAGGCCTGACTCTGTGTAAGCACTGCTCAGCAATAACGAAAACATACCTGTGTTATTAACACTGTTTTCAGTACAAATCCAAAACATAGCCCCATACTAGCTACTATGAAGACCGTTAACTCTATCCCAGCCAAAAACAGCACACTAATAATAGATGGTTTTGTGACTTTTTAATGGGAATTTATTTCTCTTCTTGATTTCTTATGACTTGATCTTGAATGGTGCTGTGGAGCATGGGGAGAAGTGGACCTGTACATGCCCTGGTGGTTCCTGTGTGCAGATCCTCCATGCAAACCCAGCTTCCTTGCCCTCCCGAAAAACAGACTGAAAAGCCTAAGTTAATGATGCCTCCTTTCACAGTGGGATTCAAAGGTTCTCGGACCCAACATGTGCAGCATATTGTAGGGGGCTGGATGTACTTTCATCTCTGTTGCTGGTTCTTTTCTTGTATTGATGAAAGATGCTTCTGTGAAAACGTTGAGCATTGAGAGGATAGGATTTTATCACAGAAAAATAAAAGCTAAACATTACGGTAAATCAATAAAAAGTATGAACAGCTCTAAAATGGGAAACAATACGTTTGCAATGCCTTTTGTGTTTTTTAACTGAATCTGTACATATTAAGGATCTATCTAGACATTACAGATAACTAGATAACTTAAGGGGAAATTAAACACAGCTGGTTTAGGTATCTGGATTCTCTTAAGAAATATACAGAACAACCATGTAAATGGTCTCCTGGATGTTATGGTGCTAATTATTACTTCCATAGGAAAATGTATATCTAAGTGAATAAAATTAATGATTTTGGTAATTCAGTTTTTTTTTTTTTAATAAGAATTTGAGTTTGATGCAGTTAAAAGTCTATGCATTGCAGACAAACATGAACAGTTATCTCGTTTTTAAACTAGCCATAGCTTCCCAGTTCCATTCCTTTCCAGGAGGTAGATGTTCTCCTAAAAGCAAAGAACCATTTACTGTCATTAAGTTTTAGTTGTTTTGCACTCTGTCAACTGAGATCTTATCAATTTAAACTGAAAATTCTTGTAAAACACTAAATCACACTAATCTCCTCTAAAACACTAGTTTACTTTCAGATGTGCAAATTTAATATGCCTCTGACAGTTATTTGAGATTCACAAAACATTTTCCACAGTAATATGAACTCTTTTGATATTCTTCCTCCACAAATGTTTCAATGCTCCACTCACTCCTAATTTCAGTGTTTCCTTCATGTCCTTTTTTAACTAGAAGATCCATCAATACTTTTTACTTCATTACATTTCTGTTGGGTTTGAATTCAAATAATTGCAACACCAATTTTAATATAGTCACAAGATATTTCCTGTCCAAAGGTAAAAAATGCATCAGAAGAATGTAGGACATATAGTCTGTCATTTCTGTTCCAACTGACTAATCTAATTGCTAAATTCTCTTTGTTCTCCTCTGGAATTAAGCTACATTTTAAAATGGAAATTGCTATATGAAAAATGATAATGAGTTGACACTGAACACCAGCCTGATTTTAATCAGTCTGTCATAAATGAGAAATTATATAGTAACTAAAACTAATGGGCTGAAAACACCATTTTTCTGACCAATACGCAAAGAGAATTCATTAGCTAATAAGCCTTTTCCTGTGATAAACACAATTAGCTTTTGCTCTCCTTTCTCATAAAGATGTGATTCCAACAACTGCATTGGTGAGAGAGTTTAATTCCTACTATTTCGTAGGTAGCATATTTTGTGTGTTCTTATTCCTACTATTAGTCTTGTTATAAGAAAAATATTTAGCTAGTCACGCCAGGTTTAATTAGAGTAGAGCCAGGTCTGTGTTCAGAAGGCTTTGCCATTTTAACAGTTCTTACTGTCATATAACTATTAAAGCACTGCTTTTCAAAGTGTTGCCACTTTGGGTGAAGTCTGCCAGAAAAACTGCCCTTTTTTAGTTGTAGCTTTTTCCACACCCTCATGTGAAATAAAAGACATCACAAAAATAATGATATATTGCTACATTTGTCTTTTTTTTGTTGGCATAATGTTAGTTGATATGAGTATACTAGAAAAGGCTTACAGCATTGTTTTAGTCTAGTAATGTTGAGGTAGAAATTTACTGCTAGTAATACACTTTGTCCTTGACTTTTTCTATGAATGACTTGATTTACAGTTATGATCAAAGACCTAGGATTTAAATGAGAGTCAGTAGGATGTTTAGAAATAAGAAAAGCTACTGACAATTTGTTTGTGCATGTTTTACGTACACAGTAATTGCAATTGCATCCACAGACATAGGAGTAACAAACACATACTTCCAGTTAGATACCTAGCCAATGTAATTGTTGTGTCTGTGTTAAACCATTTTGTGAAACCATTTTTAAACACTTGGACCAGTGTGTTTTGGCTTTGAATCTGACACAGTGCCCAGTGTGTTCATCTGGAGAAATAAAGGTTCTTTCAAAAATTCTTTCTTTCCAGCTTGTTGGTACCAGCAGGTGCTTGTTTGTTCCAAGAGACCGGGTTTCTAGAGCCTGAGCTCCCAATTTCCAACTGTAATATCAAATTACAAGTAATAGTGATTTTACAAAGCTATTCCATGAATGTCATGACATTGGCTTTCATTAATGATTAAGGGCAAGTAATAACTGAAATACTATCAAAGAAATTGTATTACTGGTTATGGTCAGCAGCTATGTGGAGCTATTTGTCTTATTAATGCTTTTTCTGAACAACAGTATTATAGAATCAGCTAATTGTTAATTATGTTTCCAGAATGCCTTTAAGGAATCACTGTTTCTGGGGTTAGACCTGTGTAGCTGTGTCAGCTTGACCTGTTGCTCTTTCTAACCTATGAAGGTAGACTGACAGAAATTATTTGTATTGAACAGGTTTATTATGATGAAATTTAAATCAGTAACCTTTGAAGATTCCCTTTTTAAGAATTGTGTGTTTGAAGACATTACTTCACTGAACACCTACTTCAGGAACTGTACTTTCGTGAATACCACCTTCTACAACACAGGTATTACAAGAAAAAACCCTGAACACCCATTGTTTAGCTGCATGTTCTCATCTTACTATTTTGGACTGTTTATAATTTCTTGTTTTCTAATAGAAACAAGAAGCCTTCTTGTAGGGAATAAAAAACCTACAAAAAGCAACAGTCCTCAGTAATGTAATACCAGAAAAGAGAAAGGATCACACCCCATTAGAGATACCGCAGGCCTAATATTGACTCAGATAATAAACATCTCTTTAATTTTAATAATCCCTAAAGAGATTCAGTCTGGAGAGGAGAAAATATGTTTACTGCTTTACTGATAGCTTTAACTAGGTGTATTTTTATTTTGTCTAAATGAGACTGGTGAAATACATTGTTCTATTGTGCTTGCTGTGGCATGGGGATTTGAGTTCAGGATTCAAACTACCTTATCTATAATCATTCCCAGTCTACTAAGTATTCTACCAAAAATAGGAATGCATATTTTCATATGTGTGAACAGAGGACTCATTTTTTTCAGTTTAATACAACGTAAGTGAAAATAGAATATGGCCAACTAAGCTTGTTGGAAAGATGCAGCACTTCTTATTGCTTTTCTGTAACTCCAGCAATCATAATAATAATAGGGTTATGTTTCAGAACAAGCAGTGCCCAGCTTGCTTTGCCTGGAAGGAAAGTATTCTTGATCCAGGGTTAAAAGGCTAACAGGAGGAACAGAAAGAGGAAAGTATAAGGGGAGATCTTTGAAATGGCATTCGAAGAAGAATGGCCTGAACTGTTGCATGTAGTAACTCATTCATGTTCAAGCTAAAGACAAAGTGGCCTGCTCAGAAATGAAAATGGGTTTAATCTGAATTCCATAGGAACATTTCCCTTTAAAAGAAGTCAAACCAAACTGGGCATAATCAACAGTCTCATCTGAAAGGCTATCTGGTGTGGGAATAGAAGGTCTGATACCAAGCAAGACCAAGTGATAGAAACTTGCAGATATCCGGTGCTTTTTATGCAAAACCAGCTGGTGCTGAGAGGTCTTAACCAAATACAGTCCAAGCAGAGCTGAAATACATTAATATAATTTGCCTAATTCCAGGCCTTAGTTGCTCTTTTTCATGAACTTTGCATATTTTTCTATTAAGATTAAAAGGTATCAAAATTAACAGCAATAACTAGTCCCATTTTACAAAGCAGTGAAAGCTCCTAGTTGTCATTAAAGTTGCCTAAACTTGAAATGTTTTTAATCAAAAGCTGCACATTGAGTCAGCCGTTAGCTGAAATCTTTCTTTTTCTTTCCACAGATCTCGAGCAATATAAATTTGTTGACAGCAAATTGATAAATTGCACATTTTTCCACATCAGGACAGGATGCCAGATTTCTTTCAATGACGACTACAGTGCCTACTGGCTCTACTTTGTCAATTTCCTGGGAACTTTGGCAGTGTTACCAGGGAATATTGTGTCCGCTCTCCTGATGGATAGAATTGGACGGTTAACAATGCTAGGTAGGGGCTTCACTTTAAAACAGAGAACACCACCAACACCTAAAGTTCTCCTGATAAAGTAACATGTTCTCTTTTTAAAGGATTCGGTTCAAAGAAATACAGAACATTCCTTCTGCAGATACTTCATTTATGTGGTATTCTAAGCGCAGTTTTAAAAAACCCCCAATTTAGAAACTCTAGGAACAAAGGGGTCTGTAACTAGTTCTGCTATGTCATGTAGTCAGTCATTGCTCTTTCACACTGATATTACAAGACTGCAATTTAGGCATTTGGGATGAGATTTTTGGAGAGTGCTGACCATTGGCTTGTTTTTGCTCTAGCTGAAAGGAAAGCAAGATGTATGCAGGTGATCCTCAGTTTGTGAAGCAGCTCCTAGGAACAGTCAGCAGTCCTTTGCCTGTTATCTACTTTGCAAAGTAACACAGCTGAAAGATATCTACTGTGGAATATCTGCAATCACAAATCTGTTTTCATTTTACTTAAATAACTATGTGGTAATTTATTACGTTCATTTTCTAGGAGAATATCTCTATATAAATGCAGTTCCCACTCACTGTTTTTATTACTACAATATATGAATGAGTTTCATGTGATTACAGAAGATGATGAAGGAAGAAGAATAAGGGTAGTTTTCCCCACACAGATTGCTTTGGTAGTTTAGAGGAGGTTCTAGCTTAATACTTTAATATATATACTAATGTTTGAGGAGTTACTTTTTTGTCTTTCTGTCTTCTTCCCCCTGAGCCCCTTATAATATTTGTCTGCCTGACTGGTCTTACCAGCAGAGAATGTCTCTTTAGTTTTTAACTCAAATATATGGGTAAGTTATTTGATTACACTATGTGAATAGAAATATTTAACACAACAAACACAGACTGTTCTTTAAATACAACTCCACTTAGTGTTCATTTCATCTGTCTTGTACCTAGGTGGTTCCATGGTTCTTTCTGGTATAAGCTGTTTTTTCCTGTGGTTTGGGACCAGTGAATCCATGATGATAGGTATGTTGTGCCTCTACAATGGTCTCACCATCTCAGCTTGGAACTCTCTTGATGTCATTACTGTGGAGCTGTATCCTACAGACAGAAGGTATGTGCAGATGCATCTCTATTAACTTTGCTGACTCTATCTCTATGTACCAGCAGAAATGGTAAATAGAAATGGTTAAGTATGAGCTTTACAGTGGTAGTGATGTTTTAAGTGGGCTGAATGAATAGTTTGTCTTATGAACAATGGGGGGGATATAATAAAAAATATTTTTTTGAGCTATTTGGTATGTATTTTGCATCAAATATCATCTAATCAGGGAAATACCACAAATGTAGTTTCATATGAAGAAAAAAAAAAGAGAAGGTCTAACTGCTACTCTCATTTAAAACACAGCTTATGAGTAGTATTTCTGAAAACAGTAATGAAATATTTCTGGGTTTCCCCTAGTGTAACTAGCTATGATGGCAATAGTTGGTCCAAAATAGCAATATAGCTGCATTTGTCTGTTGACTGTGAGATAGTGGGAATGATAATAAAAAAATCACTCTCTGGAGCTGAAGAGCATCTTCTGGAAGAGATTGTGGGCTTGAACCATGCTGAGCTGTTAATTAGTCTGCTACGAATTTGTATGCAGGGTCACTAGGAGTCTATATGTACTCATCCTTAAGCAGACACAAAAATGTCTCAGGCACTGCTCCTGACCCTTCAAGGCTCTTGCAGAAAAGCTCAGGACAGTTTTCATGTCCTGCAAGCATTGCTGCTAGATGACATGGGGTTGTTTTTTGTTTTGTTTTGGGGTTTTTTTGAGATACAGGGTACTCTTTAACACTGATCTTATGTCACTGAATGGACTGAAGGAAGAACAGTCGAGTCATATGCCGTTGTATGTCAAGTGTAAAAATATAAAAGCCACACTTCCTTGAATAGACTGGGATCTCTCCCCCCCTCCCCCCCTCCTTAAAAATTCTGAATTGCCCAGATTCCTGCCAAGGGATGGTGTGTCCTTTCTCTTATCACAGTGCTATTCATTATGGCATTTCATTTAAGTTTCAAATATGGTGAAAAAAATTTCCAGTTTATAAATGTGTGATGCCTTGCTGGCAAGTCTGTTTTTGGACATGGGTGCAACAGGCTTTGGTATTTTCCATTGGGAGAGGAAGACTGTAGACTGGCTTCTCTGTTGTCTTTTGACTGGCATTTAAAAAAAATATGCTGCTTCACACAAGAAATAGATCTCCGTTGTTGTGGTTGTATCAAATTACCATACTAGGCTACTTATGAATCCAAAGCACTAAGCTTTAATATTAAGCACTACTGTTTTTATTACACCTCAGGAAATTGCTCTTCTGGCAAGAATTATTCTATCAGCCATACTCTATGATATAATTCTAATAACTATTTCTAAAGGATATTTATCTTCTTGACATTTCTGAACATAGTAGGCACAAATATTTTCTTAAAATGAAGTAAAAAAAATAATTGAAAAAGCCATTGATGTTAATGGAAGAAAAAATTATTACTAGAAATGATAAAAAGAATGTAACTGATATCTATTCTAGGGCATCTGAATTTTGTAGATAATAGTTGGTTTTAAGTTTCTGCTAGCTTTGGAATTGTAGCAAATTTTTCCCCGTTTTCCTTTTTTAAAAAGCTTGTGTGTGCAAACAATAGCTGTATTGAATTCCACCTCAAAAATTTACTTGCAGCTGAGTTGTTGGGTTTGGTTTGGTTTTTTTTTGTTTTTGCAACAACTTGGACAGAAAACTTGTCATTTTATATTATCAATATAAAAAGGCTGATAGGCCAAATCTACCTTTGTCAGGAAAGACACTGCTGACATATACTGAAGATGAGATTTTTTTTTTTTTTTTTCCCCCCTAAAAGTTCTGGTTCCATCACTGCCAGTTTTTGCCAGTTGAGTTATAAGGAAACAAGCAGCAGTTTAACAGCCACCATTCCCCACCTCTGATGGTCCTGTCTTTCCTTCTAAGACTCCTCTGATCTCCATAGCCTGGCATGACTTGCCATAGTTTGCTGGGAATTTCCAGGTTCTGCAAGTAGCTGTAGGGCTGAACAGCCTTTCCAGGCATATATGGTAAATGAAGCTGCCTGATCTGTTTTTGCATATGAGGTCCTTCATACTTAAGATGATGTGCTCCACTTTCATTTTAAAGCTGCATCCAGAATTAATCTGGTCCTGAAACTGGCTTCCAGTTTTCCCTCAAAAGGTGATCTAGGCACAACAATTTTGCTCACTGTGTCACCATTTTACTGTTCCAATATGTACTTTTTCCTTACTCCCAACCAGTGAAATGACCACAAACCAGCAGCAAAGTGCAGCTGGCGGTTGGGCTGGAAGAAATGTGTGTGGAAGGAGGCCAGTTCACACTACCATGCACAAGAGACCAGGCTGGCCAGCCCACCCTTTTCCTCCTGCACTACTCCTCATGGAAACCAGCCAGTTGCCAAACCACTGGGGCTTTGCCAGTGTCGTGCAGGGTAGTATAAAAGGTGTTTCATAAATCACACTCCAGGTTATTTATGGATCATACTGGATTTTTGCCAGGTAGGGGTGTGGTGAGCAATTTGGAAATGTGCAGGGTATATGATACACAGGACACATTTGTTTCTTCTTCATCAGCTGCCTGCAGGTCAGAGGTAAAGTTGCTTCAAAATCTTAACAGATTTGGATTCTGTATGCATTCAAACTCACCTACATATTAACATTTTAATTTACTTATGCTTGGATTTGAGGTAATTAAGTAGTTTGTCCTGAATTCTTGATAATTCTTTCAAACTTTATGCCATTGTAGCATAGCTTTTGTCTGCATATTCTTTATAAAACCTCAGTTGATTTGCACAACTACTAAAATAAGAGATATTAAAGACTGTATAGATTTCAAATGATTCTCAGGTAGATGAAGAAGTTATGTTAAAAGGTGATGATATGTTATCAATGCTAGTCATAGGTAGGTTTCTGTCTTCCAGATGATATGCATGGTGGTAACAAATAATCATTTAATAATATTTATTTTTTTTTTTTTACTTTTCAATACACACATTTTAATGGACACCCATGATGACTAGCTATAAACTAGCTAATTTCCAATAAGCAAGTTAATTACTCCAGCTCCACAATGTAAAGAACTTGTATTATCTCATCTTTTGTCTTGTCTTAATGGCCTGTGCTATCCTGGATTGCTCAGCAGTCAGCTGGTTCAGAAAAGTGGTTGGTTGTGACCCTCTTGAAAGCCAAACCAAACTATTCCATAGCCATGGAAGCTCTGCTCTGAAGGAGAGTTATTAAACATCTTGAAAACATTTCTGAGTGCTCCTAGAGTGATTTCCTACTCTTAAACTTTCTGTATTTTCAGAACACTACTCTGAAAGAAGGTGATGTAGAAATTGAGGCACAGAGGAAAAAGATATTTTTAAAAATTACTTTAGGTGCCCAATTTGACACGTGGTACCTATGATACCAGTCACTGAGCATTTTAGAAGAGGGAATGGGCTGAAAGTGTAACTTCCACTGCAGCTATAAGCACTCAGCACTTCAGCAACACAAACCTGAAGGTGCTAAGCGGAGCACACAGAAAATGTGAAATGCATACTTAATGACCATTTAGTTAGCTTTAAGTGACTTGCTAACATTGAGGAATTCTGTGGCAGGAGCAGGGATTGTATCCTTTCTCCTGACAGCACTCAAGTACCTTAACCATGAGACTCTGTTTTCTCATCTTGCAGTCCCCAACCTTATTCACGGTGTGCCTTTCAACTTCTGCAACAGATGAGGGAAACAGTTTCCTTCACTACATACATGTTTTATCCCTCAAGCTCTCTTTGTTCTGTGCATTGGCAGAGTGATGCAGAAAAAAATAGTGTGTGATGAGGTAATTATAGAATGCATTGTAATGTGTGTGCCCAAGGGGCTTGCAATAACATTGCACAGTTTCCTAGCTCTGCCTGTAATATAAATATGAATGGAAGAGAGTTAAAATTCTCTGAAGAAGTAACATTTAGGAGATGTTTATGACTTTAAAATGCAATCATTACTTTCACACAAATGATAAATATCTTCTTGTGAACTAACTTGGGAAACACCAACTTTATAAGCCAAGACTCTTGTCAAGGAGTGGACACAACAAACAAGCCAAACCTAAACAGAAATAGGAATAGAAATAGGTCATCTCCCGCAGAATAAATCAAGGTCAGATTGCATCAGATAACCAACAATTCATCAGTTTTACTACAGCTGCCAGACATCTGGGTTTGAATCTTGGCCAGGAATATTTAGAATTCAAGGTGTGCTATAAAATGAAGTCATCCTGGTTTGCCTTTTTTAATACCTCTGAAATAAGTTCATAAGGGTTTGGTCATAATTAAGAAGTCAGTCACCTATCTTCAGTTCATTATATTTATCTTTTGCTCCTCTTCTTGAGCCCAGAGAATTTGTCCCCAGAGTAATAAACACTATTCATGGGGTGTCTTAAGTCCAAGTTTTTATTGTTGTGGCTGTCAGAAGTTTTCTATTCTTTTGAGTCATAACAGCAGTCATGAACTTATAATAGACTTCCTGACAGCTATTTTCTACTGCCATCCTGTATATGTGGTTCAACTGCATTTTGCTGAAATTTCATGGTGTTTTTAAGGCATGAAATGCTGAACCTATGCAATTCCTTAGGCAGTAGGCCAAGGCAGGAAGGCAAACTCCATGATTTTACTTGCATGCCGAGTGCTGTAATAGGTCAGGCTATAATATGCATGTGTGTACTTATTTTTTTAAAAGATCTGAAAATGTCTGGACATTAGAAAATTATCCATATAACTTTCAGAAACTCTGTTTTCATAGCCTTTGCATATTATCAACATCCACAACAATGGGATTCAGAGTCTTTTGTAAAGTGCTGGATAGGCTTGGCACTAGCTCTGGCAAGAAGGTTATGAAATATCTGTGCTACACATTCAGTAGCACTCCACTGCAGGACAATGAAGTTGTTGGGTGCTCTGACTATCAACAATGGAAAAGCAGGCCTGAAATATTATATGTAGGAATATGCTCTTTCTTAGACCAGGTGCTTATACATGGCAACCAGGAAACA